AATTATAAGTCTGCCTCACTTATAAATATTTAGGATGAGCTTTGTGTAGCATGGTGATTTTGTCTCTATAGGTTCAAATATGAAAATTCAGATATCTCTGTAGTTATCTTTAGGAAACAATTAGCCATATTCTCACATTCATGGAATGGGTTGGATAAAAATAAGTCGGTCGCCAAAGAATCTTGAGAACCTTAAATGGTCAAAAGTTTTTAAAATAGCATAACTAGAAAAAAGTGATCAGAATCCAGTATCCCTTAGTTTTCCTCTGAGGTTAAGTACAGACAGTCAAAAATCCTGAGGCTGAATTCATTCAACCTCTCAGGTTAGTTTAAGCTTCATAGATTGAACTGATGAGCAAATGAACGGACACTCGCTTTTGATTTTGGAAATGTAGCAACATGCCTGTAGTGGCCCAGGCCAAAAGCCAGGACGCTCTAGAGCACGCATCTCTGCTCGAGTAGAGGACACCTCTCTGTTTGGCTGGAGCAGACAATTTCGACCAAGGCTAGCCCACCTAGCCTGTGAGCAGGGGTTTGCAAGGGAGGTGCAAAGCATCTTGGGATGCTGGGGGACTGTGAGTTAGCTTGAATCTGGAGGGGATGTGGGACAAAAGTCCAATAAAATAATTCAACCCAAATCAGTTAAGTCTGATGCTACATCCATCCAGGTTTATCTTAAACCAGTTTCAGCCATTTTGAAAGCAGTTTATATGTACTATATTTATGTTATGTTGCAGATTTGAACCAGTTGCTGATCACTTATACTGGTTTATGTGTAATTTCTGTCCGTAGCTGGAGAGACTAAGAAAATGTTGTTTCCTGCTAGAGAGAGATTTGTTTTCCATCTAAATACCCTCAAGATATAGGGGCTGGTCTAGACTCCAGTTAGATGGATAGGAAAACTCCCATGAATTTCAATAGGAAATTAATTCCACATACTATAGAGGTACTGGTAGTTAGTCATGTTTGTCTAAAGTTAGGCAGAAAGCAGTGTAGAGGTGCACCTTCATCAGCATCTGATGATGTGAGCTCTTGTTCACTTCACTGTAAGTTGTACCTTTGTCCTGTATACTGTAGACTATTCTGCCATTTGAGGGTTCCAGTGGTTTTAAGTGCTACATCAGTGAAGCCGGTGGAGTTGCTCTTGATTTCTATTTCTGTAAACAGAAGAGGAATGTCTCTGTGAATGGGTATTGTAAAACAGGTAGTAGCACTTTCCTGACTCAGCCTCAGTTTTGTTTGTAGCTATTTTGATCTTTATAATTTCCCTTCTTAACTAATGTGAAGGTATTTGAAAATAAAAAAAAAAAATACTTGTGATGAGTAATTCATTAATTTTAAATATCAGAGGACAGCAATAATCCATGTCAGTGTAATGATGCTGTAATTTAGACATGTGTGCATTGTCTTTTAGTGAAAGTAACTACCATATTTTAAACAATAGCTCAAAGAACGTAGTTTGAGAAAGTTGATCTACTTGTTGACAACCTTTAATCACTATCAAGGTTTTTGACAGCTCTTTAGAAATATCTTTGGCTATTTCTGCTGACAAAGATGCACCAGGCAATTGGGTATCCATTTGTGATCTTATTCTCAGCTTTTACTGAGGTAAGGAAATTTTGGTTGCTTGCTCAAACAATATGGCTGTATGGACTTTTTCTTTACATATAAAGAGGAATAAAGGCTTCACCTGCAGCTTAGAATTTAGATGTGTATTTGTGTACACTGGATTGTGCAGTAAGAATGGAGCAGGTTTTGAAATAATTGCTAGTGTATCTTTTTTTCTTTCTTTTCCATAAAAATGATTCTAGTTTTGCAAATTAGTGTAACAGGGGTAGTGTATAGAAATGACTCTGAGACTCAGCTGGCTTTTTCTTAACACGATACACTTTGAGTGCAATAATCCTAGAACTTTTCAACTTCAGATTACATCTGGGATCTTGCATTAAATTTACTGCAATGATTAATCTAAAAGTCTATACCTTAAGGCTTTTTTTTCTTCTATCAAGGAGAGATTTAGGTTATACAGGAACCATATATATATAGAAATATAATACAGAAATATAATTGGCTCTTCTGTTAACAGTTGTAGGAACAATACATGGCACTTATATCTCCTGCCAGTACCTGGCAAACTGAAATCTTGTTCAAGACAGCATTCTGTCCTCTTGAGCCCTATTAAACTTATACATCTGCTAGGATGTGTTTTTATTTGGAGTATATGGGAATTCACTGGTGATCTCTAAGGTTAGAACTTGACTTGTTGACATGAGACCAAAAGGTTTCTTCTCAGTCCTTTTCTACAGTGCTCCAGATAACATATAAACAGGAGACTTAGAAAGCCAAATTCTTCTCTTATATAAATGAGCATAGTCCTTTGCCCATTTATTCAGCAGAGAACTTTGCTCAGTTTATTAAAAATGGATTGCTTACAGTGTATCTATTACCATAGAGTAACCACAAAAAAACTTCATACCATTTGATGTCACTCACTTATGCTCTAATCCTACAGACTTAATCATGTGCCCGAACTTGATGTCCTGTGAGCAGTTTATTGACTTGAGTGAAACTATTCCTCCCATGCAATGCTGAACATGTACATAAGTCTTTGCAGGGCCTTGTTGTCTACCTGGAATATGTATATACCATATTTAGTCGATTAAAAGAAGACCCTGGATTTTAATATGTGAGAGGAGACCCTCATCTTAGAATTGAGTAAAGGCTGTGGGGAGCAGGCAGCTACTGTGGCTCCAGCTCTGGCCCCAGCCCTGGCTCAGGGCTGGCACCACAACTGCTGCTAGCCCCCACAGCCTCTGCACTCCCTGCCACTCCTTCCCTACAGTATTGGGTCCCTGCTGTTCCCAGTCTTTCCCCTGTGCCACTTCTGCAGCGTGGACCCAGCCTGGCCCTGTAACAGTAGTAACAACTCTGCAGGGCCGGGCTGGAGCCAAGCTCAGTGCCCCAGACTACAAAGGAGATAAAGCGTGCTGGTGCCAAGGCAACAGTAAGGCAGGGAGGGGTAGAGACTTCAGAGGGGAAGAAGAAGGGCAGAAGGTGAGGCAGGGATCTGAGGCTGTGGGGGAAGAAGCAGCACAGAGAGAAGGAGGGAGGGATGGAGGAAGGGAGGCAGGGTCCTGAGACTGTGTGGGATAGGCATAAGTGAGGATGCCAAGTGTGGGGGTGTGGGACAGGCAACAGGAGACAAACTGCATGCCTCCCCTGCTATTTCCACACTGTCTGCCCTGTATGACTTCCTACTGCTAGTCCCCCAGTGCTCCCTCCACCATCTGCTCCCTTACAGCCCCCCCGCCCTCACTGCCTACATCCTTACTACCCCCCACCACCTGCCCTACCATGTGCCTCCCCCACTGCCTGTTTTTCCTACTGCCCCACTCATTGCCTCTCCCCCTACTCTGGGATGATAAATTTAAGATGATCTTCCAATACATAGATTCTATACATGGAAAATTATATTAAATGTATACATTTTCCATGTATAGAATCTAATTATTGGGGGGGGGGGTCATCCTAAATTCAGGGATATCTTAGATTCAGATAGATATGGTAAGACAGTTGCCACTTTTTGCTTGTCACTTCTACTCTGGACCTAAATTATGTGTGTTATTACATTTTGAAGCTGGTCCCCTTACTAAGGAGCAGCTAGACTTCTGTTTTATGATCAGGTATTAGAGCTGCATTAATCAGATGTGCCTGTTCAATTGAGTTCAGATTTCCCTTTGATTTCTTAGGCAGGTTTAGAACTTATCCCTCCAAATCAATTTTTGCAGAAAAATTTGAATTCATGACCCCAAATTGCTTTATGAATTAGGAAATGGATTGTTCTCTTCTGGTCATTCTTCCTGTTCATTTTAATATTTTTTGTAACATATTAGATTTTTTTTTTTTTTTACATTCTTTTATTTTAATCTTGATTACAGACTCCTGAATGGGAATTTTGCTGATTTCTTTACTAATGAAATAACAACATTTGTATATTTTATTTTAAGTTTAATTTGTTCACATCCAAGTGTCCAGACTGCGTCAAACTACAAAGCAAAGTCCAAGGTAGACCCTTAGAGATAGTAATAATCGCTCTACTGATATCTAATTTGGTGTAATATGAATGCTAAGGAGCAAGAAGAGGATGAAAGTAAATAGTGCAAGTTAAGATAAGATTGAGACAATCCCCACTGAAGTAGCACCACCTGACTTACAACTTGGTTTCTAGCCATGTAACGCCAACACAGATTTATGTAGGCATCAGCAGAGTCAATATAATTAATGTGAAGGTGGATTATATTAATGACAAGAACTCAAAGGAGATATGTATACCTCATAATCTGTTTCTGGCCCTGTAAATCTGGAAATGTTAAGAACCTTGCCTACAAGAGACAGTTGGATAAATGTATCTTAAAGTATGTCTATGCAGCCTTCAGTGCTAGTTTATCTGAACTGGTTATGGTAAGTCAATCTTACTTTGGTTGAAACTAGGCTTCTTTTGGTTAATTTTCATCACAATGTAGATCGAATTAACGTCAAATGAAAGAAAGAAGTTGATCTAATCTAACTACATCATTGTAACTAACTTAGAAGTAGTACAACTTTCTTTTCTAGACGAAGTCCAAGGAGAGTAAGAAGTACATTTCATTTGAAGGTACTTGAAGAAATTGTAGATTTCATCAGTTTGGACTACCCCTTGCCATTTAGCCTGCTCTAAGAATTTGGCCCACTCTATATAATGACAAAAGCCTGTTTACCATTTTGCTGCTGAAATAAACAGATCATGAAAAGAGAATGATACAGGCTGTAATTTACAGCGGGCAGTCCAAATACAGGAAGTGTAACTGAAAGACAATTTAAAGGAACCTTGCCAATTCTTGAAAATACATAATCTGTGTTTATCAGCAGTTCTTTGTTTTAAATGAAGACTGGAATCTATAATTATTATCTGTGCCTTCCACAAGCTAGCCTTAAACATTGCTTTTTGTTTTTCTTTCACAGTAAAACCAACTGTTATTGATGTTGACATTTATGTTAACAGCATTGGCCCGGTATCATCAATAAATATGGTAAGCATCTTGCTAAAAATGATTTTTATCTGGAATGCTGGCAATAGTACTTGCTTTGCTTTGGGGGAAAATGATAGATATCCCAGTGATAAGATGTTTTGATTGCAAGCTTAGTTTTGTTTTCAGATGTCAGACTCCTACTTTTTAAACAATTATTTTGTTTCCTTTTTTTCCCTGGGAAACAAAAGACCCCCCCCAAACAACAAAAGACCCCACTTGCCATTATTGCTCTACGTGTTGTGTGTCACATCTAGAATGGTAAAGTTAGTGTTAGAAAGAATATGTATGACATTAGACTCTTTTCCTTAAAAGTCTGAAGTTACTGTTGCAAACTGATTAAATCCTATTGATTGAGAATATAGAGCTTGAAAGGAAGTGCTTCCATGTATAATCAAGCAGCATTTATCTTAAAAATAAGCCAAGTCTTTCATTCTTATATACTTCCTGCTTTAAAAATGCAGGCATGAAACCTGGCTTTTATGCTTTTTTATTTATTTATTTATTTATTTATTTTTAATTCTGTATCAAGATTAGGTTTAACTGTGTTAGTGTGGTGTTTTTGGGGGGTTTTTACACCACTTCATCAAATCTCCAGGGTTGTGTTCTAAATCAATGGGAGGATACTATTCTCCTTCAATCTTCTATTGGAACTCTAGTGGAAAGTTCATCCTTAGCATGTATATGCAGTCTAGGGAGGCAGAAATTTAGAAAAGCATGCAACCTAATGTTTCCTATGTCTGATACCTGTGGTTCCTATTTGACTATGATGGACCTATTCATAAAAATCTGTTCAATAAAAGTTGCTTCTAGCTCAGCAGCTTGAGACGCGATCCTTTATCTTCCAGGAAAATCTGGTTTTTGCTCGTCTGGTTTTGCAGTCTGGTTGCTAGACTATAAATTAGACTTTCATAACTTGATGTTGACATAGGTGAGTCATTGGCTTTGGTTATTCCAGCGGTGTGCATATTTCAGGTTTGAATGTGTAGACTGTGCGTGTTCCTTGTTTTCTTTAGGTTAAAACTCATCCAAGCACAGAAATTTGGGAGTGCCAACAAGAAAGGGTTTTTGCTGTATCTGTCTAAAATATTCTAAACTCTTCAAAAAGCGACCAAATCTTCCTTTGTTCTTTTCAATACTTAACCAATGAGACTGATTGGGACATGGACCTGTTGGCACAATAGTAATACAAATGTTAAAGAACAGTTCCTTTTAAGTGTTTTGAGTAGAGGCTTCGGGTTTTTAAACTATTGTCTCAGTTTGAGCACCAGTTCTTTGCCTGATGGCTTGTCTATGGTTTTGTGTGTTTGATGCTTATATTCTCTTAATCTGAAAACTCTTAAAGGTCAGGAAAGAATCCAAGAAAATTGGATTTACAATAAAACTAGGAGATTTGGCCAGGAAACCTGGAACAAATTATCTGTACTGGTAACACTTGACAGTAGCATGTAGAAGAGTGAAACAGTTGGTTATATTTCTTCAGGTGAAGCACAGAATGCCAAACAACAGAAGCATCTGCTTCACCTTTAAATTGATAAACAGCTAATTATCTTATCCTTCAGCAACTACAAATCACAGCAATGTTTCTAAAGAAAGATGTATTTTTAATGCATTCTTCTGACTCACTGTGTTATAGTGTGTCTATAAATATGTCCCCACTCAAGAGAAGAGGGAATTGAATTGCTATCATAGGAGGTTAGAAAGGTCCCCCTCTTCCCCCCGCAATTCCTCGATCCTAATTTCTCTTTCTTGCCCCTTGAATTGCCTTGTAAATTGTTGTCTGAGTTGCTAGAGATTCAGATGCATCTTCTGTAACACAGTACTGTAAGATAGGGTTTTATAGAAACTACTTAAGCTGTGAGGATAAGGAAAAATCACATTAATTTTGAACCATTGCTGGTTCATATCACGGTTTAATATAAGTATGATTTGCTTGCTCAGGTGGTAGAATCTCCATCCTTGGAGGTTTTTAAGATCCAGCTTGACAAAGCCCTGGCTGGAATGATCTAGTTGGGGATGGTCCTGCTTTGAGCAGGGGGTTGGACTAGATGACCTCCTGAGATTACTTCCAACCCTCACTTTCTATGCTTTGAGTTCAGGCTACCTCTGACACTAAGCTAAGAAAATAAGTTAAATAGTAAATTATTTTAAAAATATAAAATATGTGCAAATTAGTTTCATAGTTTCATAGTTTTAGGGTCGGAAGGGACCTAATAGATCTTCTAGCCCGACCCCCCGCCAGGGCGGGAGAACAACAAAAAACCCTAAAAACAAAAACGGGACTCAAATGAGTCCAGCCAGGTAGGCATCCAGCCTCTTCTTAAAGACCCCCAGGGTAGGGGCCAGCACCACCTCCCTTGGAAGTTGGTTCCAGCTCCTAGCCGCCCTAACTGTGAAGTAGTTTTTTCGGATGTCCAATCTGTACCTCCTCTCCATCAACTTGTGCCCATTACTCCTTGTTATGCCAGCGGGGGCTAGGGGAAACAGCGTCTCCCCCAAACCCTTCTGGTTCCCCCTAGTGAGTTTATAGACGGTCACCAGGTCCCCCCTCAGCCTTGTCTTGTGGAGGCTGAATAGGTTCAGGTCCCGCAGTCTCTCACTGTAGGGTCTGCCCTGTTGTCCCCGGATCATGCGGGTGGCCCTCCTCTGGACCCTCTCCATGTTGTCCACATCCCTCCTGAAGTGGGGCGCACAGAACTGGACACAATACTCCAGCTGCGGCCTGACCAGCGTCGCATAGAGGGGGAGGATCACCTCCCTGGCTCTACTCGAGATGCACCTGTGGATGCACGACAACGTCCGGTTAGCCCTGCCAACCATGACCTCGCATTGTCGGCCCATGTTCATCTTGGAGTCAATAATGACACCAAGATCCCTTTCCGCCTCCGTGCTCTCAAGTAGGGAGTTCCCCATCGTATAAGTGTGCTGCTGGTTCCTACTACCCAAGTGCAGCACCCTGCACTTGTCCGTATTGAAACACATCCTGTTCCTGTTTGCCCACCCCTGTAACCTATCCAGATCCTTCTGCAATCTCTCTCTCCCTGCTAGCGTGCTCACCTCCCCCCAAATTTTGGTGTCATCAGTGAATTTAAACAGGTTGCTTTCCACCCCAGCATCAAGATTGCTGATGAAGAAATTGAACAGCGCAGGCCCCAGGACCACACATTAGGAATGTGGCTAGGATATTTGTATTTATAAAGTAGACTAGATTTAGACGGCATTAGACTGAAAGTCAAAGATAGTGCTGGTCTTGCTATTGGTAGTGTAGCAACAGGCAAAATGTGGAGACTTCTCTTTGGTAGAGCAGCCATGGGGGAAGAAAATTACTGAGCTTGTCAGCAGCAATGATTTAAGAAGAAATTTCAGTGACAAAAATAAATCCAAGGAATACAGAAGACTCATCCCAGTGAAGTGGTGGTGATGGTGATCTAGCTTTATAAATTGTGGGGTTTTTTTTAAAGTAGGAATAGTTTTGTGGAATATTTTTATTATTTAACTAACTACTACATAGGGAGGTGTGATTACTTGAATTCAGTGTTCTTTTTGATGTAGAGGAAGGAAAACCTGGGTTTTTTTAAACTTCATTCAAGAATATAATAGGTAAAGTAACAGACCTAAAATAAAGTGGTAAGTAATTGCACAAAAGATCTGAACCATTTAATATTTTACCATTGGTATGTTTCATCAGCTGTTGAAACATACCTACTACACAGGCAAGGTCTGAAATAAATTGATTGTGAACACCTGGATCAATGGAAAGGAAATGAAGCTGCTTAGTCCAGATGGGGAGTGCCTAAATGCTCTGAAAGTATGCAAAAGATGACTTTGTTGTCAAAGGAAGATTCTACTATAGCCAGTGAGTACAAGGGATGACAAATGTAAAGATGAAAGTTGAACATGTAAACCTTTTGTGTCTAAATTTAGTTAGCTAATGTCCTATTTAAGCATCTGAGTAGTAATGACTGTCTCAGAAAATCTCATTGTCTGCAAATACCAGAAGCCTGTGGGATCTATGGATCACTAAGCACTTGTAAAAAAAAAAAAAAAAAAAAAAAAAAAAAATCAGAGCTATTCAAGGACCTAAATGTGAATTTGGAAGATTAATTTTAGGTCCTTGGATCTGGAACCTCTGGCCAAGGTATCTGACTCATCACCATATATTCATAGAAACACCAATGACTTCAGTGGAATTACTCTAGAATTATATCAGTGTTAATGGGATTAGAATTTGGCATGAAGTCGTAAATTCACGTTCGTATTTGTAACACGAAACGAGAAGGAAACAGCTGATGAAACAAATCGACTACACTGGCAAAGTCTGAAATGAATTGCTTGTGAACACCTGAATCCATGGAAGAGCAATGAAGTGCTTAATCCAGAGCTGGACCAACCTCCTTCCTTCCCATTTCCTATGGGAAGTGCCTGAAGGGGAGGCAATCTTGCTGGAGATCCCTTTAAGGAGTCATTCCTGGCCCTGTGGTCAGGCAGGAACTGTCCTGCCAATTCTTTCCAGCAAAAGAGATACAGTGTTGGTATCTAAGTATTATCCTGGATCTTTCAGGGAGACACCATAATCAGTAGGAAATCAGAATCATCTTCCTGAAGGCCTTGTTCCCTACATTAAGGCTTCCCTTGCTAGTAGATGCCAGCAGGCTTTCCACTAAGTTATTTAATGATTTCCATAATGGGAAAAAAGTCCACGATGGGAAGATAGTACAACTCATCCAAGCTTTGCTCCTTCCCAGAGTAATTTGCTTGAGGGATAGTAGTTATCTTTCTGGACCTGCTACCAATATAAATGGTGTTCCTCTTCAATCTAATCCATTCCAAAAACTGCAGATTACAGGTTGGGCATTAATTATTAGGAAAGTGCTTTCTAAGTGTCCAGGGACTACTTCTGTGCATTCCATTTTATGTTTTTTAACATTATTTTGTTTCACTGAATCTATGGAAAAGCAAGCAAGTAGGATTTAAATCCTACTGACCTTTATGGCAGTGTTTTA